TTTTTTTTGTTTGAATTAAAATCTAACCTTACTCATCCAAAAGTACAATAATGGATTCCAAACAATGGAAGTCATTGCTATTGCATGAACATTGAGCAATTTGAAATACATCTGTATATCCAAAAATGCTTCTGCAATAAATTATATATAGTTTTAAATCAATCGATAATTATATATTGTCAATTAATTTAAAACTCCATTCATTTTAGAAAGTTTTTATTACAAAAAAAAAAAAAAGTTTGCATTTAAAACGAAATCAAATTAAAATCTTTATCATTATAATTGGTAGATTGTATTACCGATAGTCTTCCACAAAGAAATAAATCTTCACAGAAGAATAAAATCTTATTCTTCCATGAAGAATAAATCTTTTTTTTTTTTTTATTTTGTTTGTTTTTTATTTTTATATATGAAACAACGATTATTCAACTAAAAATTTTTCATGACAGATATCGTCCCTCTTTTTTTCGCTTAAGATTTGCATTCTTTGAAGAAAACAAAAAGCTTTTATCAATCATTCAAAAAAAAAAAAAGAAGTCTTCCTCTTTTCATAACTTAACATGTTTACTTTAAAAAAGAGAAAAAAAAACAGACATTTCATTTTTGTAACTGTAAAATTTCAAAAGAAAATGCTTTTTATTGTTCTTCTCTTTTCCCTTTTTTTTTATTAGAATTATTTTAAAACACAAAAAGAATGGAAAAATTTTAAATAATTTTTACAAGCGTTGTTTCAAAATGTTTCAATTTCAACAATTTTTTTTTTCCAACAATACATATTTCTTCATAAAGTTCAGAAATCATGTATGTTTACAAAAATTTATATTTTGCAATTTAATTTGAGACAATAATAATTGAAATAACATTAATTAACATTGTTAAATTTTTAAATTTTAACTTTCTTCTTTTCCCTGAATTGTTTTGCTAATAGCATTTCTTTGGTTGGAAAATTATTTCATACATTGATCGAAAAACTATTATAACTTATTTTAGATATTTACAAAAAAAAAACTTGAAAAATTAAACATTTGAATAAATTATTTATTAACTTAAACATAAAGATTGTTTCGAACAAAAAAAAAAAAATGAAATATTTTTTACCTATTCCAAAATCACGGAAAATATTTACAATGGTTAATGGAAGCCAAGATGCCATGAATACAACTACCATCAATATCAGCACATACATTACCCGTCGTTTTCGAACAGCTGTTTGAGCTTGCTGGGCTGCAGTTAACATCGAATGCTGGGCCACGATCCAATCAGCCCGAACCTGAAAAAAAAATAAATAAATAATAAAATATTTCAAAAAAAAATCATCGATAAAAATTAATTTAGAAAATTTCTTTTTGTTTATTTTTAGGAAAAATAAAGATGTCAGGGGAAATTTTTTGATAGCAACATTAAAAAATAGCAATTTTCAATTAGGCGATTGTTTAAAATTTCAAAATAAACGAAATTTAGTCAAAAAAAAAAAATTGAACCTTTTGTAAAATCTTCCAATAGCAAAATGTCATGATTGTTACCGGAATGAGGTATTGACAAACAAGTAGCATAGAACCATAAAATAGTTTAACACGATTATCAGCTGGCCAATTATATTCACCGCAAAACTACAAACAAAAATATGTTCCATTTTTTAATTTTTAAAATGTTAAAATTTTTTTGAAAATTTTTGTAACTAATTAGCAACAGAAGCAACATCTGTTTAAATTTTAAAGTAAATACATAATTTAAATGGTAATTAAATTTTCTGCTTATTTTGTTAGTTATTAGTTTAATTAATCATTCTGATAATTAGCGGTGATAATGGTAATTAAATTTTCTGCTTATTTTGTTAGTTATCAGTTTAATTAATCATTCTGATAATTAGCGGTGATAATGAGCTATAACTCATTACAATATATGATTGATTTTGATAATAAAATGATAAACAGTAACAAAATGATTAAAAAGCTCTGTATTAGCAAGCAGCTTCTAAACAGAAGATCTACAATTTTCTTTTAATCTCTGCTATCAGTATACCTTAATACTTATATTTCGCACTTTTTATTTCTGTCAAATTTTCAAGTTAACCAAATTAAATTTACTTTTTATGTGATTTAAAAAAATTTAAGCCTGAAATTATACATGCTCATTAAATTAGCTGCGCCTATCTTTTGCTATACGCTAGGCACAACTGTACATTAATGAAATATCCTAATCAACTTAACAATAATCATCATCAAACTTCTTCTACTCATTATCCATCATTTGATTATAAATATGGAATGGAAATAACAATACTGCGAATATATCCATCAATAGCAGTGATGCATTGCATGAATTTTTCATTTAATCAAGAAAAAAAAAACTATTTTATTTGATAGTTGTAAATACAATTTTTAAATTTGGAAGTAAAAATTTATTTCTGTTCTAAATGCACGATACTTTTGATAGTTTTAAACGTAGGAACATCGGACAATAATTATTACAAAGATTTGTTTTCTTTATTGATACACAATGATTAATTATAACTGATGGCGATAATGATTTTGATAACTAATGTGTTATCTTTTAAATGTTATATAAGTAATGAAACATTTAAATTGCTCCGCTAATAAATGCTAAAATTTTTAGGAATTCATACTTTTAATTTGAAATCAAAAATTAACATACATAACCACAAAGTGTTGTGTTTTCAAGTGCTAATGGTTGCAATCGTTGGGTGACAAAAAGTGGTGATGAAACGGTAGCTGAAGTAAGCCAAGATATGGCCATTAATGAATATGCATGATATGTTGTCCATGGCTCTCGAGTTGGCATAACAATACTACGATATCGATCAACAGCAATGAAGCATAAACAATAACTTGAAATTAATACTGAAATTTTTCATCTAATCAAAAGAAAGCATCTTACTTAGCAATTGAAAGTTACTATTTTGAAATTTAAAAGTAAAAATTTATTTCTACACTTTGAATAATTTAAACATCGAAGAATAATTATAACGGAAACTTCCGTTCAATTTCACGTAAATTCAGGAAAATAATAAAAAAAAATCGGCAGAAATTTATGTTTTTGCTAAAATTATTAGAAATTAAAGGAAGAGGAAAAAAAAAAGGAAGCTACAGTACTAGTAAAAAAAGTTACCAGAAATTCCTTGACATAACGGTACCAATTTACATAACAATGAACCAAATAGCCAACGTTTCACGAATGCTAATACCGGTGTTATTGGAAGAGCTGTTATACATAATAACTGCAATAAAATAATTTGAATACATAAATGATAGGTTCATATCTGAAATAATTTATAATATGTATATATAAAATTCATTTCAATAATATATTAAAGCCAACAAATTAATTTAACTCATCAGTAAATATGGTACATATATAAATTTCAGTGTGTGGTACATGCATATCTACAGTATGCCTGATAAGAACTTTAGGTCTGTTAGGATAGGCTAACACAAATCATCCGATCATTCCATCAAATGAAACTTGTAAATAAATATGTTGGGTGATAATTTTAGACTACATAGCTTCACTCTAACAACACCTGTAACCATCTGCTTTCATTGTAGCATCATAATCTTTTCTCCAGGCCAGATATTGTAATAAGTTAAATCAGTTAAAAATTTGCATAATGATAAATAGCTTTTAATCATTTGTTTATCAGCAATATTCGAATTTATTTTATCATCTTTGCTCCATCAAATAATTGAATGTTTGTAGTAATTAGGAAAGTAAAATTATAGAAAATTTTGGCAAATACTTCAGTTTTGAAAGCGGAAAGAATTCTCTCGAAAAAAAATTAAAAGAAAAAATCAAAGAGCAAGAAACAATTCATCATTGTTTATCCACTGGGATAAATTCATATCATTATTATTGGTTATAATCAGCTATGTCATTATTTTTTACTCAAATTTAATTGTTCCGTTGGGATACGAAAAAAAAATATGCATATTTGAGGTTTAAATTTTCAACTAAAATCAATCATTTAAAATTCAAAGTGTTCCATTTTTCCCTTTTTTTATTGTTCATTTTTTGCGTAAAACGATAATGCAACAAAAGCTTTTACGGAAATATGAAATTAGACTATTTTAAATTGCAAGTTATAATTTTTTTTCTTCCAATTATTATTAAATTACAATTACTGATATAAATGTGATGGTGCATTTGCGTTGCTTATAATAATCAACAAGCAATAATTATCACAAATTAAATACATTTAAATTATAATCATTTTTTCATTTTTCTTATTTCTCATTTCTTTCTTTATTTCGAGTTCCAAATGCAATAGTAAAATTCTGATGATTTTTTATTAATTTTTTTTAGATTATAGAAAGTGAAATTTCTTTTTAGCAACTAATTATTGCAACAATTCAAACATTTTAAATTGTAAAATGATTCATTTGAAATTTACACTTAATAAAAACTTCATTCTAATGTCTTAGATGAGATCATTCAAATAAGTTAGAGAGTTCAATTTTTGCTTAAACTTTCGCATAATTATCCAAACAATTTTATCAAATGTGATATCACTCAGACATCAAGTTGTTAACTTTATCACTACTCATAATATTACAATTTAAAATATTTGAAAACATGGGAAAAAATGCTTTCTAGGTAGATAAAACAGATAGAAAATGGGAAATATGATTGAAATGAAATGCTACGAAGCTAAATATGTGAATAAAATTCAGTAATTCACTAACCGATATAAATAACTGATTAGCTAATTAATTAATGAAATGATACAATTGGGTTGATTAACTGCTTGAGCTTTTCTCGCCATAATAAAATGAGCAAAATATACTTATGGTTGTTATTTAATTATACTCGAATCCTTTTACAGTATATAGCATTATTTCGTATTAGTAATCCAGAATAATCACTTTTCTATTATATCTGTTATCATTTGGTGATTAAATTCTGACTATTTTAGAAATATCAGATTTTCATTAATACTTTTATTATGTACGAATTTTAATGCAACAATAAAGACTTTTTCGGATTCTTGACATTGACAATTTT